GCACACTTAACCTTGGAGCTGGCCCTTATACGTCGCAATAATGAGATGAAAAAAAGTGTGAATATAGTCTTTATGTCATTTTATTCGTCCAGCTTGATGCCGGCTCTGGCCGTCCATTTTTCAAGTATGAAAATGATTTTGAATTTCATGTCGAGCAGTAACGAAGAGGACCGGCACTCTGAACTTTGGAGCTGGCCCCCATACGACGCAATAATGAGATGAAGAAAAGTTGTGAATATAGTCTTTATGTCATTTTATTCGTCCAGCTTGATGCCGGCACTGGCCGTCCATTTTTCAAGTATGAAAATGATTTTATATTTCATGTCGAGCAGTATCGAAGAGGAACCGGCACACTCAACCTTGGAGCTGGCCCTTATACGTCGCAATAATGAGATGAAAAAAATTGTGAATATAGTCTTTATGTCATTTTATTCGTCCAGCTTGATGCCGGCAGTGGCCGTCCATTTTTCAAGTATGAAAATGATTTTATATTCCATGTCGAGCAGTATCGAAGAGAAACCGGCACACTTAACCTTGGAGCTGGCCCTGATACGTCGCAATAATGAGATGAAGAAAATTGTGTATATAGTCTTCATGTCATTTTATTTGTCCAGCTTGATGCCGGCACTGGCCGTCCATTTTTCGAGTATGAAAATGATTTTATATTCCATGTCGAGCAGTATCAAAGAGGAACCGGCACACTAAATAACCTTGGAGCTGGCCCTTATACGTCGCAATAATGAGATGAAAAAAATTGTTAATATAGTCTTTATGTCATTTTATTCGTCCAGCGTGATGCCGGCTCTGGCCGTCCATTTTTCAAATATAAAAATGATTTTATATTCCATGTCGAGCAGTATCGAAGAGGAACCGGCACACTAAATAACCTTGGAGCTGGCCCTTATACGTCGCAATAATGAGATGAAAAAAATTGTTAATATAGTCTTCATGTCATTTTATTCGTCCAGCTTGATGCCGACACTGGCCGTCCATTTTTCAAGTATGAAAATGATATTATATTCCATGTCGAGCAGTATCGAAGAGGAACCGGCACACTTAACCTTGGAGCTGGCCCTTATACGTCGCAATAATGAGATGAAAAAAATTGTGAATATAGTCTTTATGTCATTTCATTCGTCCAGCGTGATGCCGGCTCTGGCCGTCCATTTTTCAAGTATGAAAATGATTTTATATTCCATGTCGAGCAGTATCGAAGAGGAACATGCACACTTAACCTTGGAGCTGGCCCTGATACGTCGCAATAATGAGATGAAAAAAATTGTGTATATAGTCTTCATGTCATTTTATTTGTCCAGCTTGATGCCGGCACTGGCCGTCCATTTTTCAAGTATGAAAATGATTTTATATTCCATGTCGAGCAGTATCAAAGAGGAACTGGCACACTTAACCTTGGAGCTGGCCCTGATACGTCGCAATAATGAGATGAAAAAAATTGTGTATATAGTCTTCATGTCATTTTATTTGTCCAGCTTGATGCCGGCACTGGCCGTCCATTTTTCAAGTATGAAAATGATTTTATATTCCATGTCGAGCAGTATCGAAGAGGAACCGGCACACTAAATAACCTTGGAGCTGGCCCTTATACGTCGCAATAATGAGATGAAAAAAATTGTTAATATAGTCTTTATGTCATTTTATTCGTCCAGCGTGATGCCGGCTCTGGCCGTCCATTTTTCAAATATAAAAATGATTTTATATTCCATGTCGAGCAGTATCGAAGAGGAACCGGCACACTAAATAACCTTGGAGCTGGCCCTTATACGTCGCAATAATGAGATGAAAAAAATTGTTAATATAGTCTTCATGTCATTTTATTCGTCCAGCTTGATGCCGACACTGGCCGTCCATTTTTCAAGTATGAAAATGATATTATATTCCATGTCGAGCAGTATCGAAGAGGAACCGGCACACTTAACCTTGGAGCTGGCCCTTATACGTCGCAATAATGAGATGAAAAAAATTGTGAATATAGTCTTTATGTCATTTCATTCGTCCAGCGTGATGCCGGCTCTGGCCGTCCATTTTTCAAATATGAAAATGATTTTATATTCCATGTCGAGCAGTATCGAAGAGGAACATGCACACTTAACCTTGGAGCTGGCCCTTATACGTCGCAATAATGAGATGAAAAAAATTGTGAATATAGTCTTTATGTCATTTTATTCGTCCAGCTTGATACCGGCTCTGGTCGTCCATTTTTCAAGTATGAAAATGATTTTGAATTTCATGTCGAGCAGTAACGAAGAGGACCGGCACTCTGAACTTTGGAGCTGGCCCACACACGACGCAATAATGAGATGAAGAAAAATTGTGAATATAGTCTCTATGTCATTTTATTCGTCCAGCTTGATGCCGGCACTGGCCGTCCATTTTTCAAATATGAGAATAATTTTATATTCCATGTCGAGCAGTATCGAAGAGGAACCGGCACACTTAACCTTGGAGCTGGCCCTTATACGTCGCAATAATGTGATGAAAAAAATTGTTAATATAGTCTTCATGTCATTTTATTCGTCCAGCTTGATGCCGGCACTGGCCGTCCATTTTTCAAGTATGAAAATGATTTTATATTCCATGTCGAGCAGTATCGAAGAGGAACCGGCACCCTCAACCTTGGAGCTGGCCCTTATACGTCGCAATAATGAGATGAAAATAAATTGTTAATATAGTCTTTATGTCATTTTATTCGTCCAGCGTGATGCCGGCTCTGGCCGTCCATTTTTCAAATATGAAAATGATTTTATATTCCATGTCGAGCAGTATCGAAGAGGAACCGGCACACTAAATAACCTTGGAGCTGGCCCTTATACGTCGCAATAATGAGATGAAAAAAATTGTTAATATAGTCTTTATGTCATTTTATTCGTCCAGCGTGATGCCGGCTCTGGCCGTCCATTTTACAAATATGAAAATGATTTTATATTCCATGTCGAGCAGTATCGAAGAGAAACCGGCACACTTAACCTTGGAGCTGGCCCTTATACGTCGCAATAATGAGATGAAACAAATTGTGAATATAGTCTTTATGTCATTTTATTCGTCCAGCGTGATGCCGGCTCTGGCCGTCCATTTTTCAAATATGAAAATGATTTTATATTCCATGTCGAGCAGTATCGAAGAGGAACCGGCACACTAAATAACCTTGGAGCTGGCCCTTATACGTCGCAATAATGAGATGAAAAAAATTGTTAATATAGTCTTTATGTCATTTTATTCGTCCAGCGTGATGCCGGCTCTGGCCGTCCATTTTACAAATATGAAAATGATTTTATATTCCATGTCGAGCAGTATCGAAGAGAAACCGGCACACTTAACCTTGGAGCTGGCCCTTATACGTCGCAATAATGAGATGAAACAAATTGTGAATATAGTCTTTATGTCATTTTATTCGTCCAGCTTGATGCCGGCTCTGGCCGTCCATTTTTCAAATATGAAAATGATTTTATATTCCATGTCGAGCAGTATCGAAGAGGAACCGGCACACTTAACCTTGGAGCTGGCCCTTATACGTCGCAATAATGAGATGAAAAAAATTGTGTATATAGTCTTTATGTCATTTTATTCGTCCACCTTGATGCCGGCACTGGCCGTCCATTTTTCAAGTATGAAAATGATTTTATATTTCATGTCCAGCAGTATCGAAGAGGAATCCTTAACCTTGGAGCGGGCCCTTATATGTCGAAATAATGAGACAGAAAAGTTGTCTACATTGTGTTTGTATCCCTTTTTTCGTCTAGCTTGATGAAGGCGTTGGGCACCTTATTTTACGAGTGTGATGATGATTCAAACAACCAATCATGTAATCCTCGTATTCAATACGGCATACTGATTGTTTTGTCAAAATCCACAAATCACTCCGTATGTCAGTAACGAAGCGGTTTTGGACATTTGTAAATTGGATTTTGCAATCATATTGACAGTCTCTATATCCTCATAACTCTGTATATCCTTATATTCGTTCTGATCGCCCTCCTTACACCTTGGAGCTGGTTTTCATGCTGATAGTGAGCGCCCACTTTTTTCTAAAGAAAAATATCATATTTCGAGTGGTATAGAAATCATCAATTCAGTATTTGGAATCATGAACCTGAAATGAGAAGACGAAAATAATCAGTCTTGTACTCTTTTTGCCAATTTCAGAAATTGTTTCGAGTTTGAGTTCCATCAAAAATTATATTTCAATCAATCTGAATAATTCAAATTTTATCAATTGAACCACATGGATCGCTTAGTTATATCCATTTTCCTGTAAACAATGAATCATAAAGTGATCAAACATCCGAAAAGATACTATAAACGTGTGAATCGAAATCTGTGGAAAAGATTGACCGTGGTGGAAAAAAGCCGCGTGGAGCTGGCCGGCCGGGAGCTAACATGACCGCGGTGTGGAAAAACTAGAATATGCACTCCTCATTATCGCCTGAGCAGTGCCATGGATGCGGACCCAATGCAATGTCAATCAAAATATTCAATAATTCACCATCTGAAATTAAGGTCATCTTAAGCATAAACGAGTTCAAGATAGAATTGAAAAACTATCTGTTACCCAAAGTTTATTACTCAGTAAGTCAATATTTTTCCAGTAAACCAAAACTGTTATCGGGGTGAAAATATTCATGTTGTTTTCAAAAGTGTTTTGGTGTGAACGTTACAAGACATTTCGATTTTAATTATTGTAATTTCATATTATATCTCAATGTTTTATTTTTATTTAGCGTCGTTTATTTTATTATCTATTAATAAAACATTTTTTTCCTACATTAGCTGACGCATCCTATATCATACATATGTCTGTTTTAACCGTTTATATGGATATGTCTTGATCTGAAAGGAATTAAAGAAATTTTGAATTTTTTTTTTTTTGAAAAATGCTACTTTATCATAGAAAAAGCGTCCGAAAAATATTGATTTTGTTATTTTTTTCCGAACCTTCTATTCTATCCCGAGTTGCCGATCATTGATTTATTTTTATTTTTTAGGCACAACAGGCAATTTAGGTTTGAAGAAAAAGACAAAGAGGGGGTGGTCAAAGGCCACTATGGTTACTATGACAAACAAGGAAAACTCCAAGTTATCCATTACGATGCACATCCTCTCGGAGGGTTTCACTCCGAGAACAGCAATTCGTGAAAAATATTGAGTGGATCAAATTGAATTGGACAATCAATTTCAAAAAGCTCATACTTCTCTCTCAAGAAAAGTCATTATTCGTATATTGAAGTGATGTAGTGAAAATATCAAATATTAATAACGTCCCCCACTTCATTTTCGATGTACGTTATTGTACTGTCAAAAACATATATTTCGTTTGTTAATTTATTTTAGTTTTTTTTTTATGGGTGTGCAATAATAATAAGTGACTGTTGCTCTCTTGTTATATACCTATCTATGATCTATGTACAATTGTGTGTATAAATGTAGATATAGGTACTTACTATTGGTGTTATATTTTTATTTTAATTACCTACTCCATTTCATAACTTCGTTCTAGGGCGTATAGCAAAGGAGGTGAATCCCAAAATTGAATTTTCATCAGCACTCATTCAAAGAAGGGTTATACAGGGTGATTCAGGTTTTAAGGCACAAACTGAAATGGGAAATAGATCTCATCATTTCAATCAAAAAAGTTTATATAAACATTAGTCTGATCTCGTTCAGTAGCGGAGCTACAGGGGGTCAAAGTTTAATTTTTTTTTATTAATTGAAATATCTCGCTTTCTTTTGTAGAAGATCATCATTTCAAGCATTCTAAAGATTTTCAAAATCTACAGGGTGATACGTTTTTCGAGGTAGAGGCTGCTTTATCCCCTCCAAACTTTTTCGTAGTACGCCTCTGGCATCTTTCAGTGATCAATTTTTTTCGAGAAATGAACCGTTTTTGAGATAAATAATCATATACTTTCTTAAACATGTTAATTTTGCCTATGTTTCGCTTAAATTGTATTCTTTGACAAAATTCGTTGAAAATGCAACATAATGTTCTAAAATTGCAATGTTCTTACGCACGAGTCCAATCTACCTTGACCTCCTACCCTTTGTATCCCCGCAACTTATCCAGATTGGACTCGTGCGTAAGAACATTGCAATCTTGGAACATTTTGTTACATCATCAACGAATTTCATCAATGAATACAATTTAAGAGGAACATAAGGAAAATTAACATGTTTTTGAACGTTTATGCTTATTTATCTCAAGAACGATTCGTTTCTCGAAAAAAATTGAGGAGCAAAAAAGCCTCTAAATTGAACGATTCACACAATTTGATCACTGAAAGATGCCAGAGGCGTACTACGAAAAAGTTTGGAGGGGATAAAGAAGCCAGCCTCTACCTCCAAAGACGTATCACCCTGTAGATTTAGAAAATCTTTAGAATGCGTGGAATGATGATCTTCTAGGAGCTATTGACCATACCAAATTTCAAAATGATATCTTGAAAAGTAAGCGAGATATTTCAACTATTAGAGAAAAATAATTAAACTTTGACCCCCTGTAGCTCCGGTACTGACTGAGATCGGACTCAGTGCAATCAATTCTCTTTTCAAATATGGTTAATCATTTTTTGTCGAGCAGATTCCGAAAAATGTCGTGTCCCTTGGAAAAATCGAAAGATACGTCAATTCCATTTCTGAGGAAGACACTGAAATGAATATTTTTTGCCCTGTTAGTTCAACTCCCTAGGAGGGGGTATAGATTAGAACCTTAGAACCTCATATGAAAAGGGACTTCAAGATGCACATCATTTCGAAAAAAAATTCGAGCATGAAGCACGCAGATTGAATCAATTATTGTCCTGGTCAATAGTATCACTATTCATATTGAATAGTTCAAGCAGCAAACAGATCTATGAGCAAACTCACCCACCTCAGATGCGAAATCAATTCTACCAACCTTGCTCAGATGCTGTGCAAGTGGGATCTACTAGTAGATTTCTAGACAAAACCCAAACCTCAAACAAATTTCAGTACCAACCTGCTCATAGTACCTTTCTACTACAGATTTCTGTAAGTTCTATTATCAAAGATTTCAATAGATGTCGCTACCCATCTGTACTTTCTACTGTTATTGAAGTACTCGATAGAATCGATAGATCATGAAAGATCTAAGCAACGTCTAAGCATTATGGAACCATTTGTCATTAGATAGCATGTGAGAAAAATATAATATTTGAATAGAAAAAATAAAGATACGCCCCTGATATCCTGATTATGATATGTTGCATTCACAACAAATGATTACAAATGAAACAATTTCATTACGTATTATTGATTCCCTCAAAAAATATCACATTCGCAAATTTGGGTGGACGCGCCATTACGCCAAAATTGTTTAATACCTTCGCCATATTTTCGAGTTTGCTATGACAACAGTAATTTTCTAAATTCAAAATCGATTTTTCATATTTTCCTGCACATTACACCCTTTTATTAGCTTCACCTGTATGTATGTAACCGACCCTTTGGATTCAATTTTGACCCACTTTAAACTTACCGATTGATTTGAAATTTGTATGTGTACCTACATTGTTCTGGTGGCAATGCATTATGAAATTTTTGTAAGACAAAGAAACAAAATGGCGGATGATTTTTGTAATTATGTTCCGATTTTATTCGAAATTGGTATCTAGGGGTTTTCGAGGTCGAAGATTATGATTCTTTCGCCAGAATTAATGAATATAAGATGGCGGATCCAATATGGCGGATGAATTTTGCAATTATGATGCGAATCTATACAAAATTTGTATCTGCAGGTTTTCGGGATCAGAGATCATGACACTTTCATCAAAATTCAAAAATACAGGATAATGGATCCAATATGGCGGACGAGTTTTGTAATTATGATCCAAATCTGTTCAAAATTTGTATCTGCGGGTTTTCGGGATCGGAGATTATGATACTTTCAATTAGCAGTGGTTAATCTTTGGTAGAAGTCCATATTGCTCAAAAGAAGGAAGGAATGCTCGAAGTCATCTCCACAAATTTGCGATATTTTCATCAAAATTTGCAATTTCAAGATGGCGAATCCAATATGGCGGACCAGTTTTGTAATTATGATCTGATTCTACTCAAAATTCGTATTTAGGGGTTTTCGGGGTTGGAGATTATGATTCTTTCGTCAATATTGGAAAATCGAGATGGCGGATCCAATATGGTGAACGAGTTTTGTAATTATGTGATCCGATTCTATCTCAAATTGGTATCCGGGGGTTTTCAGGGTCGGAGATTATGATGCTTTTGTCAAAATTTGAAAATTCATGATGGCAGATACAATGTGGCGGACGGATTTTGTAATCATGATGCAATTCTATCAAAAATAAGTATTTGGGGTTTTTCGAGGTGAAAGATTATGATCCTTTCGTCAAAATTGGATACCTACAAGAAATATAGCATTACTAAAAATCACGCTTTTTCAGTTAGCCGAACTTAAATATACAAAATAAATAGTAGGTTGAAAAATTTGAGAAACACCCTCTAATATATAGCCAAATTGAAAAGAAGTAGGAAATAATATAATGAGAGTGTGATGATGAATACACAACATAGAATGTACTGATTACGTAGATGCTAATATTTTCTATGTTGTTTCTTTAGTTTTTTGAACTACTACTACGGATGCCATCACGACATTTGTTTACTGAGCAGGCCCAACTTATTTCGAAGTGTCCTACCTAATCTAGCAAGGGTGTCAGGTTTTTTTGAAAGACCCTGTAGAACCTTCGTTATTTTTATTTTGAAGAGTTGGACCAATGTAATGTCTGGCACCACCAAGCCCACCATATCTATGCTCGGTATTCCCATCAGCAACACTCATTCATGGGATAATCATGTCAGATCCATCGCAAAAGCTGCTTCACAAAAACTCGGATTCTTGTTCCGTGCGAAATGCTACTGTACACCTCAACAGCTCCTCATGATCTACAAAGCGCAGATACGGCCTGTCCTAGAATACTGTTCCCACATATGGGGTTCAGCACCAAAACATACGCTGATGCTCTTAGATTCCATCCAGAGAAGAGCCATCCGCCTGGTGGGTGACGCCACACTCACTCGCTCTTCGACATCATTGGAACACCGTAGAAAGGTCGGCGACCTTTCACTTTTCTATCGATACTTCCACGGGAAATGTTCTTCGGAAATCTCTGCTATCATCCCATCACTAGCAATACCAGTTAGACGAACTAGACAAGCCCATTCAGCACATCCTTTCGTCGTCAACCTCGAAAGATGTCGAACAGCACTTTATCAAAACTCCTTCATCCATAGAATGGCTGGGCTCTGGAATTCATTGCCTGAGGAAGTAGGTATTCCCAACAACATATAATCTCCAGAAGTTCAAAAAAAATTCCAATACCTACCTCCTATCCCTATCCTCCCTAGGAACGCACGATGTTCTTTGAACATTATAGGGATTCCCTCTCGTGCCCTCCAAGCGAAAAAAAAAATCAGTTATTGAATTTCGGCTGAATGATTCTGAGACACCTTATATTTCATGGAAGAGAGACTATTATATAGATTCCTTGTACAACACTGAAAAAAGTGCGTTAAACTCGTATCATCGAGCAATAAAATCATCAGTTGACACCCAATAAAATCCATTTAATCATCTCATCAATTTCACCGAACAATTTGCTGTGAGTATTCGACCAGATAAGATAAACATATCGTGATAAACAAATTCACAATTACATCTCTGTGTGCTCATTCGGATCCATTAGCGTTTCGTATGGCCTTTTCAATTTCCTTAATTCGCCTATTTAACCACTTGACAACGATTGTCAGTTGTTTTGTCATGTGGTCGAAACAGCAGTAGCCATCGGAAAATGGAGCAAACGGTGAATACAGTGCGGAACTTTTTGAGAAAGAAGCCTGCCTTTCGAAGTGTGGACAGCCTGGACAACTCTAATAAGGCTGCCGTGCCTCAGATAGGCTTCAGAGTGTCCTTTAGCGAGGAAGATAAAGCCTTAAGGGTCAAGGTGATTGGAGCTAGAGGGTTGCCTACGGATTATGGGTCTGTGAGACCCAGGGGGTATCTAGTCAAGGTAAGTGGATGACGAATTGAATGTTGAAAGATGAAAATTATAAAACTAAATATTCACTACATGATAACGGTATTTCATATACCGGGTGTCACATCATCAGGAAACATGTAACAGCCTGTAGTTTTTTTATTTGAAGAGGTAAAAATTTTCAATTCACAAGGATTATATTATCGATGTAGTGTTTCCCTTGAACCCAATGACAATTTTTTTCAACCACCTGTTTGATTGGGAGTAGACCCAACTTTTTTTTCATATATCTTATTCGCCTTAAAATTCTCTATTCAACTATACAGGGTGTCCCAAAAGTAGTCTGCCAAACTTTGCCAGCGCATTCTGCGACCAAAATTAGAAAGGAAAGTTCCAATGAACATTAGTCTAGACATGTCTCCTGAAGGAGCTACGGCCCCTTGAGAGGGAGCTTCTGAAGATGATATTTCTTGAATATTTCCGAAACGCCATGTTATAAAATGATGCAATTTGGTACAAAAACTAAACTTTACATGCCCGATGCGGTGAACATGAAATAATCTCACATTAAATATTACTCAAAATATTTCGAATGCATATTTTTGACAATTTGATCTCGGATTATGAAAATCCACACCGTTTGACAAAAAAAGGTGTTCTGCATCGATCAGATGTATCATTTTCGAGTGAAATCGATTCAAAAATATTGATGCACTCACATCTTATGCATAACGTTGCAAATTTTCAAATCATAGTGGCTATGAAGAAGTCAAATACTTTCTTTTTACCAAACAATCTCATGAAAGCGCGAAAAATATAAAAATGATGAAAATCCACTCACATTTCTGTGCATTTTTTTTCCATTTCCACTACGCCTCATCGCAATGTTAAACATAATATCTGAGATGTAACAATATTTTCAAACTGCTTGAAACGCCATCATTGATAATATAACCCTTGTGAGTTTCAAATTTTTATCTATTCGAATAAAAAAACTACAGGCTGTGTTACACGTCTCCTGTGTCACCTGGTATATACATTTTTATGGGATCAGAAAGTTGGAAATATTCTGAAACAAAATTGATAGATTCAAAGCATTGGTTTCTATGATAGCACACATTTTGTAGACTCGTGGGACTAATTTTCAAAAAACTAAGAAAACTATTCTTCAGACGATTTCGAGTATTTTTGAATTTTCTCTATACCAGTTTGCTTTTCGACATTTATTTGGAAATAATATTGGGTTAGATGCTTCAAAAATTGTCCTGATGATCAATAATCAAGTTCATATTGATAATATTGATATCTAAAGTAAATACTGTTGTGGGGCTGATATCTATCTGAATGCCCAAATTTCGAATATTTTTGAGGGTCTAAGGGTGGATACTTCAATGAAAAACAGTTGATCGTAAATTTTTTTTAGGTAACTTTTTATCCCACCAAGGAAAAATTCGAAACTAAGACGAATAAAGACTCTTGGCCTACAATAAACGAAGAATTCACATGTAATCTCATCATACCGACAAAAAGGTACCTATAGCTATTACTGTTTTTTTTATACGTATAACGAATACATAATTCTCAAACTTTAAGTTGCCACTATTGCTAACTTGATAATTATTGGAGCTACAATATCAGATGAATGAGCTCACTAGTAGTATGTTTTCCGCTGATTTTGGTGATGACATCGAAAAAAGGATCGAACATCGCATTCAGGAGTTATGTCAAAAAGTTATTTTTCTTTTTAATGCTTGACACCCAGTGTACAACATTCTGAATCCTTAGAAAATTGGATCACCCAACAAAAACTATCTTATGAACTTTCATCATGAATTAGAAAATGACTAAATAGGTTATTACGATTTCTTTCCACTTTATAGTAACGCAAATTCACGACAGATATACGGGGCAGTCGGTTCCATAATCAATCTAAAGTTCCCTTTCATTTGAAAAGTATCCTTTATGTGGAGGATCTGATTCCATAATTATTTTTCAAAGGAACTTTAACAAAAATTTAACTTCATCGGTAAAGTCTCAAATATGGCACCTTTACAGTTGATGTCAACTTAATACTGATTTATTTTACCATGACAATGAATGTTACAAATGAAATTTCCAACGTATACGTTCGAAATTAATCTTTCAACGCAAACTTCTAGTAATAGTAGTAGTAGTAGTTGATCGTCAGAAAGTAAAGATGAGAATATAATGATTCTCAGGAAAGAGAAAATATACAGACAAAGGCAAACGTGTCTCCAAAAATATGATGATACAGAATTCTTGAGTGATTTCGATTGACGAAGCCCACAAAAGATTGTAGTTCCAGAAATATTGAATTTATTTTTATTCTTGATGATGGATATATGAGGAGCAATAGAAATATGTCCTGATTGTTTAATGATGAACAAGAATATTTTTAAACGTGATGCAAGTCGCTATATGTTCTGAATAAGAAACAAAGTGATTGTAGAGAATAAAAAATGATAAAATAGTGAAATATATAAATACAGAAACTGCTTATATAGGGCTCATACAGGGAAACATGAAAAATAATTCAAAATTCGGAATATTACTGATCTAGCACCCCATACTATGGTCTCTATTTTCGTAATGATGAATTTGAAATTATGAATTCCAGTCATGAATTCTTGTAATCGATCTTAAAATGTTCAGGACTTTTGGGAAATCGAAACTTGTGTAGTCAGAAAATTCGAATATTATGTCGAAATACACTGTTCAAATATCAGACTATCTAAAGGACTAGGAGAATGGAAAGAAAGTTTTATGATCTTCGCATCGAAAAATTACAAAACCGTTTCGAGGCCAGACACCAAACTTCATCCTAATGGTGTAATGCTCAATTATTTCACCAGTGACACAGAAAATCATGTTTCACCTATTGTGGACTACGCCATCCTCCATTCGATCATTCAGTATTTTTTGTATGACTTTCTATCGACTTCTTCACGAGTTTCTGTATTCGACCACTATCATATATCAAAATGCATCACTTTGAATGAATATTCATAACACGATTATCAAAGTTCTAAATTTGAAAATTCAGAAAAGTTTCAGAGAGAAAGCATCAATCACCAGAATACAGGTGAGAAAAAAAAAAGAAAAATTATCTGTTCAAACGGTAAAACTTATGTCAAATTGTTAAGGAAATTTGTGAATTATTCTACTTTGGATTCATATTTTGGACCTTGACGTTATCACTCAACTGAAATTGTAGCTCCAATAAGAAACAAGTTAGCTATAGTGCCGACTTAAATTTGAACACCCTGTATATCTCAGTATACAGGGTGTAACTCAAATGATGTCATATTCTATGGAAAATCGTTTTTTCATGAATTACTCAAAACTTTCATTTTACTTGGTTCTTTGGGATTTTCTCTCCTCGTTTCTATAAAATAAAAGTATTCGTATTATTTCAATATATTTGTAGAGGGACAAATCATCTGAAATATATTGAAATAATACGAATACTTTTATTTTATAGAAACGAGGAGAGAAAATCCCAAAGAACCAAGTAAAATGAATGTACCACCTCCTCGATTAACCTACAGACAGTATTTACTCAAAACTTTCTTGTCACTTCTAACAAAAATGCATAGTTTCGCATCAATATCGACGTAAAGACTTGAGTTATTAATAAAAACCCTATTTTACACTTCGTAACTCGGTAACGAAGCAAGTTAGGACACATTTGTATGAACTTTTTTTCATGAAATATGACCAGGAATGACCCATGAAATTAATGGCATCATTTAAGTTACACCCTGTAGACATCTTTCATATTCGCACGTAAAAAAATGGTTGATCGAAAATATTTACATAATATTCGAGAAGAATATCACCCATAAAATACATTTTTTCTTTTAAGATTTTCTGATGAATATTTCAAAGGAAAATTCGTATCTTTCACCGTGTACGCCGTTTTGGGGAAGGAGATGGAAGAGGATGAGACTCTGGAAAAACCCAAGAGTATCCTGAAGAGGTACTTATCTATCAATGAGGGCGAACAGTTTTTTACCTTACGAAGTGGAAGTCTTAAAAGAATTGGGTCACAGAGGAGGAGTAGTTACACTAGTAGTGCTGTTAGTAACAGAAGGACAATAGGTAGGTTACATCTCGGGTAACATTATAAAGTGCCGCGATTCGATTGATTTTTTTGGTTCATAATATACATATAGATGTCACAGATTAACAAACCTTTGTTAATCTGTGACACTGTGTGCCAGATTGGTGCTGCATGTATTGCTATCTCGGTTATTATAAGAGCTACAAAGTCGGTTAAATGGACGATGTTTTTCAGAATTCCATAATCATTTCAGGGCTGAAATTGAATCTTTCCGATTATTTTTTGTTCTGGAAATAATCAGGAAAAACAAAAATTGTGCTTTATTGACATAGCCCCGTATCTCAGTTATTTGAATAGAGTAGAGTAGAGTAGAGTAGAGTAGAGTAGATTTATTTGATCACGTTACAATTGAGATGTTTGTGACAAGTCATGATTTCGGTAGAACTAAATAGAACTTATATAATTATAGAATGAGCAGTAAAAACATTATACAGATTAAAAATTTCAAGGACACAGATTCGTTAGTTTAAAAACAAGATTTTAAAAAGCTTTACTTTAGATTAAACACACAGAGACAAGTATTTATATAGACAGTATAATTCAAAACAATACAAAATGTTTTCACCCTAGCACTTCACTGGCAAATATATATTCTTCGATATTATAAAAACAATTTTTTGTTAGGAACTCTTTGATGTAAGTCTTAAATTGACCGATCGCCATGCACCTCACTGTATCAGGAAGGACTTTATATAGATTATAATTGAGAGAGTTTTTCTTGCTGACATCAAGTCTAAACCTTTGAGGTCTGACCATTGATGCATTACGGGTGTTATAGCGGTGGATATCTGACTGCAGACAAAGAGAATCTTTTTGACTATGAATTTGAATCAATGTGTTGAATATGAAGATTGCCGGGAGTGGCATTATGTCCAATTTCATGAAGAGAGGACGACAGTGTTCACGGGGACCAACTTTGGATAAAATTCTTATTGCCTTTTTTTGGAGCCTAAAGACTTTTATGGAGTCAGTGGAGTCCCCCCATAGGACAGTGCCATAGGAGATGACTGTATGAAAAAGTGAAAAGTATGCCGTTCTTTGAATTTCTAGACTTGTCAGCCTACTGAGTTGTCTAAGTAAAAAAAGCACACTGGCTAGTTTCCTCTGAATAAAATCGATGTGGTTGCGCCATGAAAGTTTAGTATCAAGTACAATTCCCAGAAAATTTGCATATTATGCAGTAATTTGGAGCATTGTGTTTGTTGAAAAAATTAGTTTTTGTGTTTTCTGTTCATTTAAAGAAAGTTTATTCATTGAAAACCATGTTTCAGCTTTCCTCATGAGATTGTCTTGATCAATTATCAGAGAATTGTAGGAGTTATGGCGATTTATCAAGGTAGTGTCGTCCGCAAAGAGAATGCAATTATTTTGGGGTGAGACAAAATCACAGAGATCATTTATATAGACTAAAAACAGGAGTGGACCCAAAACTGAGCCTTGGGGCACCCCATGCTTGATAGGGATAGTTTCAGAGCTGGTATTATTTGCCCAGACATATAGACATCTGTTTTCTAAGTATGATTTTATCAATGAAAGAGGTGTCCCCCTGACTCCATAGTAGTTGAGTTTCTCGATCAAAATATCGTGAGAGACACAGTCGAAGGCCTTGGTGAGATCACACAATGTGACAGATGTGTGATAACCACTTTCCACTTTCCAGGCCCTCGACTATATCGCTCACTAATTTCTGCATTGCCTGTATGGTGCCTCTCTTCGGACGGAAACCAAATTGATTTTCATTCAAGTAAAACTTAGCTTCAAAATAGTTCAATAGTCTAGCCTTCAGTAATTTCTCAATTATTTTGGAAAATATTGAAACTATACTGATTGGTCTATAATTGTCTGGTGCAGACATATCTCCTTTCCTTTTGAAGATAGGAATAACTTTTGATAGTTTAAATACATTTGGAAATTGGCCAGTGGAGAACATGAGATTTATTAAGGATGTTATTGGTCCTGCTAAAATATCTGAGGATTCTTTAATAATACCACTATGCAGGCTATGGCAATCAGTTGACCTGGAATTTTTCAAATTATGGATTACTGCATATACCTCTGCTTCGTCCACAGGCTCCAGGAAGAATGAATACATACGGTATTTTGGTTTAAACATTTTATGGGCACTTTTTCAAGGTCTTCGCAATAAAAAATAAAACAAAATGATATCTTTTTCCGTTTTCGAGATAATGACCATAACTTTGTTTTTTCTCATGGACGCCCATATTGGATATTTATAGTACTGAAAAGCATTTTTCATCCCCTTTCCAAAAATGTATTACAACATGGTATTTTTTCTTGAATAAACACTGAAATGAGCGAATCTAAAAGTTTCTTAATGAATTTTGAGCTGCTGTTTGTTCGATATGGTCTAGTAGGCGAGCCAACAATTTAATTATCTTGGAACTGTCAGATTTAGTTGGTTGGTAGGTATAAGAAGCTATACACGCGTTTTATTGAATGGTGCAACAATAAAGAAATGAAAATACCAGATAAAGAAGAAGTATTTCTGGCTCATTCCCTAGAAGTGTCTGAAACCTAGGGACCATCAAACACCTTATGGGCCTGCTGGCTTCCGCAATGAACCTATACATAATGCGTAATTGTGAGTTCACAATAGCTATTACTATAATAATCAGTAGATAGAGAATATATTTCTCTCTCTTGTTAGTTGTTCTCATATGAATGAATAATTAATTGAATGAATCAATCAATGTCCTACGCTTGTATAGAAAAAATATTGTTCCTAACTCACGCGGAAAGTGTCTTTCCCGCACTCGACTGGTTGCCCGAACTCCGCTTCGCGTCGTGTCAACGGCAGTCGCGTGCGGGAAAGAATAACTTTCCGCACTTGTTAGGAAAATTACTATTCCCGCAGTAGTGTGGGTAAAAATTTCCAGCACTAGTGTGGAAAAACTTTTCCCGCACTACAACAACTTGTTCAATATGAACTATATTATTCGAGATATTTTGAAAATGGGGTTATAACTTTGTATGGTGTTTTGCTTATTAGATTACATCTAAATGTCTAGTAAGATGCATCAACATAACCCAATACCTATTTTTTCATTTTTAGGTGCTGTGACATATAATTTAGACAGAAAACTTTTCACGCAAAAATTGAGGAATGGCGTTATAAGTACACCTGACATTTGGAGGAACATCACAGAGATAGCTAGTGGAATTCAATCTCAGCCAGTAAGAATTTGTATTTTAATTTATATTGTAATGTTTTCAATCATGTTCCTCACTAACACTGAGCGCTCGTTAGCAATAATCTAGATTTTCGAAATAAAAAAAAAATTAAAAAAGATGGTTCCGCCCGGGATCGAACCGGGGACCTTCTGCGTGTAAAGCAGACGTGATAACCGCTACACTACGGAACCAGATGATAAATATTTATTCAAGACAATATATGAAAGTAACTGATTCACATTTACCAAAAAATCATAAATAATAATATCATCAATGTTAAGTATATAAATACACGACCAAAAACAATTTACGGCAAATCAAAAAGATGAATGCGAAATCAAATCAAGCCCTCATTAATTTTCAGAATATATTCGGTGAAAAATTGAATTTCAGTAATTATTATTTACTGAATTTTCAAAAGAATATCGTTAGATACGTATCAATTTGAAATCAGATACATAGAAACACACATAAAATAGCTACTCGTTCACAAATATGCCTCATCTCACTAGATCACAACTCATTTCATTTCATACATAGAGTACCTATATTGGCAGCTATGCCCTTAGGCATCGACTATTTTTCATTTTGTAATTTTTTTGTTCAGAGGGATGGTACCAAAGGCAGCATAGAGCTAACTCTCCAATACGGCCTTAGCGAAGATGGCAAAAATGACGTAGTAGAAGTGACAGTCACAAAATTCAGATGTAGCATACAGACCATGCAATATCATGAAAAAGTTGGAGGTAGGTCGATAATATTATATAATCTAGTTTTTTTATCGATTGTTATTGACTTGAGTTTATGAGAAGTACTGTGAATCGTACCTACATAGACATTGCACAACTATATATACTATATCACTAAAGAAGAAATATATAAACATCAAGTATTATTTACTTATGAGAATCATTCATAAAAACTTCCATTTATGGATTTATGTCCATGCAATCAAACTAGTGTCCTTGGGAAGATTTATCAATATTATTTCATACATTGTATATATCATGCTATCGCAAAGTACTTCAAATGGAACAATACCATGAACAAACAACAAACAACGATCAACGCATGATATTTGTTGCATTAACAATCAAGTATACCTATAACTGAGTATGTATACCTAACCTAGGTACCTATATAATGTTAGTGGTGTATAGATATCAATGATGAGGAAATTCACAATATATAGAATCTTCATCCCCAATTCCATCTAACTATATTCTGTTATTGCATCTATGAAGTTCCATTATTTGCACTGGATAAATATCACAGAACAGCAATATATTTGACACTAGATCAATAATGTATCCAATATTTGTGTATCCACTCTGAAAACGTGCAAGTATATATAGATTATGTATATGGCCACCGCACTGTCCAGATTCGCTACTCATAGACCATTTTCCATATTGCAGGTCAGCTGTACATAAAAATTACAGCTTTCGAAGACGAAGACTTGCTGCAGAAGATGAAAAGCGATAAATTCGATCCCACTATCAGCTTGAAGCTGGAATCTAGTGCTTCCACTCTAAGAGCCAATGTGAACAAGTACAATATAGAACACGTGAACATAATGATAAGGTTGATGTCCAAGAATATGGTTGGAAAGAAAGTTCTGCTAGGGAAAGTGGAATTCGATAGCAAAAGCGCGTTTTGGAAGGAAATTGTTGCTTCACCAGGCGTGGCTATCACGAAAATGATCAATTTTGAATAACAGTAGAACACCAAATTTCAGAGACAGCTAATGAAACCGCATACAAGGTGATTTGAATAAGAATGCGAAAAATTATTGAGTGAATTGTATACCGACAGAAAGAAAAGTGAAGAAGAACTTTACACAAATTTCGCCAAATGAGATTTGTGTATATTATATACACAATTTTTTTTCGCACTCCTACACATATACACACCTTGTATAAGCAAAGTACTTCATACTCTGGACATATGGTGATAACTATCTATAGATATGGCTATAGCAAGCAAGATTAGTTATTTTGTAAATCGTTTTTTGATTACATATTTGATGATTTGAAATTGAGCAGTTTTTAGCATTATAGCATGTTTTTGAAAATCATATATTCAGAAAGGTTCGTGTTTCACTATCACTAAAATGCCTGTGAATGAATATATATATATGCCTCGATATATGCGTATATAAGACATATGCTTCTATGAAGAAAAATTTGAATTAAATATACTGTTAGTTTGATACAAGCATCGACCAATTTTATTTGATGAAAAGACTGGTATTTGACTTAGAATGAAACAATAGGGAAGAGTTTACATAGTATTTATTTATGAATTATGTTGATTTTATTTTGACAGATTATAAAAATACAAACTAAAAGGTATCTTCTTTTATTATTCATTTCCTTCGTTCCACCAGAACCCTAATGTATTTGTAAAACACATGAAAACATTAGTAAGTTACAAATTATCGAAAAAAAATTCAAATTCCACCATAATGTAATTGCAAGTTTGGCGAAATCATCACCGCCAAAATTGTCTTTAGGCACGTTCGCCATTTATTCAAATCAGGCCAAATTTGTTTATGGCAATCAATCACAAAAACGAGGAAACGAATAGACATGATATTCCTGTTGATGAAAATTTGTTTGATATTTGAGGAAAAAAACATTTTTTTCACAGAATAAATTTTAAACAAAATTTGGATGACTACCATTACCCCAGATAGATCAGATGATCCAATGGCCCCAAAAATTTAAATAAGTAGGTAATTCAAATGCAATAATTACAAGTGAAAATTTTCTTCTCAGTATCAGCATATACGATTTATGTGCCCATTTGCCACAGAGACTGCATTTCAACCAAATATCTGTATCTTCGTTATGGAGGGTCAACAATTTTTTTCATATATATACATCAACTCGTCTTGATTTCCCCTATTAACCATTTGACTATGTGAGTCTTCTTATGAAACACCCTGTATAAGAGAGGTTTTTGAGTATGTTTCTGTGTCTTTTGTTACAGTCGACGACTGTAGAGCAAATGAAATGAATTCGTAAAAATATTTTTACTTGTATTCAGATCATTTCTAGTTGGAATAATCATTTGTAGATGGAGAAACCAATACTGGCTCAACTAACAAAAAGTAATGATAACCACTAACTGATTATGAAATATAATACAGGTTATCCTATTTGAAAATCAAAAGTTCAGGGTCGTTTCCGGTGAAACCGGAAGTGCAAAATTTCCCAATTCTTGAATACAACACCCCTGCCACATTTGAATCTCATACAATCAGAACTCTGCAAACCATGGAATGTCCAATGAATGTTTCAACAACCGGTACCTATAAAATGAATCCGATTCGCGACCATTTTTGTAATTGTCTTTCTTGTTCACCCTGTATCTCTTCGGACGTCTGCATTTCAGCCATTTTCAGCGCATCTGAAATGCAGACGCGTGCTGGGCTGCTTAGATCAGGTTTCGATTTTCGGCTTTTTATTGCAACACCATCAAGTTGGCTAGTGGCTGCCACTGCAACCGGCAGTCAGTTGTTTCGACTCGGGCTGAGCGAAGCTCGGCCAACTCGATTCGAATTCGCGCCAAAATTAAATGCTGCCAAGACGTGCAGTTATCATGGAAAACGCGCAATTTTTGTTTGTTTAATATTGCCGTTTTGATACCACTATCTGTGTTCACTGTATTTGTCGATTAATATTTCTATTATTGTGTTAGGAAACAGCACTCTTGTTCTGTTTTTGTTTGATAACAAAAAGTGCCTGGATTTTCGTGGAGAAAATGTGTTCGATATTGTGATCAGTTTTTGAATTTGTTTTGGTTGACACACCAGTACTGAAAAATGAATAACTTTTTTTTAGTGTGCCTTTTCCTTATCGTGAATTTTGGTACAGCCATGCATCGTGTAAGTTTTCTTCAATCAATCACTTAGAGTATATGAAACATTTTCTTTCCAAGAGAATCAGTTGATTTAATTTATTTTGCCAACACATCTTTTTATTATCAGTAGTAAATAGAATGAAAATTGAATATAGCATAGTTAATTTTTTTCTGAAATTGGCTATATTATATCATATTGTCATAAAAATAAACATACATATTTTCAAATGAATGATGATTACTGGTACTTATGGGCTCAATTATAAAACATCATTAACATTTATTATTGATGTTCAGATCATCAACTTTGTTATTATCATCAGTACAATATTGTAATGTTCAATGAACTTTACATTTCTGACTGAACCCATCGATAGTCGCAATCACTATTCAAATGTTATTGATTATTGAACTGGACAATTACCTATCCCATTGTTTTGTTGCCAATCATGCGAAGAAATGTTTTTTATCAATGATTAATGAAGCACAATGTATACAAATGATTCATCAGATGATCTTAATTTTGGATTCTTTGAGATATCTTTCTACTCGATGATCTTCAACATCTGCCAGTCAGGATTGCCTTTCAGAAAATTTCTGTTATCTAAACACTGAACGATGGTATTTGATGGCCTCGAAGATGGCATACGGAATCTTTGTGATTCTTATTCTTGTAGTGTTATTTCTACGAAAAAGCCCTTTTCGTATGAGTACTAATGAATAATTCCAATACAAAATGCTCTGATAACAACTCACCAGTATTTTTTGATCGCGATGTTCATAATATATGCGCAGGACTTCAGGATGTGACAGCTCGGCCAAAAATATGAAAACAAAATTCTATCAACCTTCCCTATGAAATGCACCATTTTTGAGATACAGGGTGTTGAAATTTAAAAACAAATATCGTTTTTTTTTTCGAATATCTCTGGAACCGTTCATCACACAGAAAACTTGTGAACATTTTCTACTCATAATAAGCTATGTTTTGTGCGGAATTTATTCCTTTTGAATTCATAATTGGTGAAGATTTTGAAGGGGGTGTTTTTCTCCCAAACTTCTACGTCCCTAGAGAAAATAGACTTTTGAGTCGCCCATTTAAACTGTTAATGTTTTCTTCAAAAAAAAGGTGCTCCTGGTTATAAGTTCAAGAGTTGACAGTTTTTTAGAAAAATTAAACTTTATGTTGAAAAACATGCGGTTAATTTCGGTAATTTTTTGCATTTTTTTTTTGTTCGAGTACGGTTTGTTAGGTATTGTGTTTTTTTCAGTTTTGTAATTATGAAGTTAACAATCAAATTTGTTACTTATTCTATTTAAATTAACCATGTTTTTCAACATAAAAGTTGGTTTTTGTCGAAAACGATCACATTTGGAGCTCATGACCAAAAGTACTTTTTTGTGCAGAAAACATTTGCAGTTCAAATGGGTCGCTCAAAACTGTACTTGTCCCAGTAGCGCAGAAGTTGGGGAGAATCTTCACCAATTATGACTTTAAAAAATGAATTCCGCACGAAACATAGCTTATTATGAATAGAAAATGCTTCCGAAAGTTTTTCTCTGTGCGATAAACGATTCCAGAGATATTAGCTAAAAACGATTTTTTTTTCGAATGATCACATCATCATGTATCTCGAAAATGGTGCCTTTCATAAGTTAACTTAATGGAAACTCCTTTCATATTTTTGGAAGAGCTGTCACATCCTGAAGTCCTGCGCATATATTATGAAACACCCTGTATATTCTATGTTTTGAGATTCAGAAATTCAGTATATGATGGCCTCAATGATGATGATATACGGAATCTTTGTGATTGTTATTCTTGAAGTGTTATTTCTACGAGAAAGCCCTTTTCGAATAAGTACCTACTGACTACTGAATAATTCTAATGTAAAATGCTCCGATAACAACTCATCAGAATTTTTTGATCGCGATGTTCTCAGAAAATTCTAAAATGAGGAGCATTTGATAGATACTATATTCTTTGTTTCGAAATATAAACTGGCTCGAATAAAACTGAATGGAAATAATTTCTAAATCATTTGTTGTTAATACTACAGTTGCTACCCATATTAGTACCCATAAGAAACTCTAATTAATCTTGAACAGTATGTGTATTCACCTCGGTATTCACCTATTCAATTATTTTTATCGACACAGTTATTCTTATGTAACATAATATAGTCTTCAAATTGTCAGTATATAATTTCAATTTTATAAAATAAATTTCATCAACATCCGTACCAGCGGGAGTCCAATTATTATAAAATCAGTGATCCTTCTCAGCACCGTTCCTTACTGTCTATATGTAGGATTTAATTTCTAATTATTATTGAATGTCATGTAGGCATTAGAAATGGATAACTGTTACTGGTTATAAACAGGGTGTCCCGAAATTACCCTGCCAAACTTCACCAACGGATTCTTCGACCAAAAATAGGAAGAAAGATTTCCTGAAGATGATATTTCTTGAATATTTCCGAAACACCACGTGATAAAATGATGCAATTTGGTACGAGAACTGAACTTCCCATTTCAAAGTTTCATTCAGGAGTGTATAATACAGGGTGGGACTACATTAAATATTGCTCAAACTTTTTTGTATGCATATTTTTTTACGATTTGATCTAGGATTATAAAAATCCACACATAAGATGTATCATTTTCGAGTGAAATCGATTTAAAAATATTGATACACTCACATTTTATGCATAATGTTGCCAATTTTCAAATGTTTCAAACGGCTTCGGTTTCAAATCATAGTGGCTATAAAAAAATCAACTACTTTCTTTTCACCAAACAAGCTCATGAAAGCGCGAAAAATAGAAAATGATGATGAGAAAACTACTTCAATTTTTGTACATTTTTTTCCAGTTCCACTACGACTCATTGCAATGTTATATACATAATATCTGAGACTCGATCTGAGATGTAACAATATTTTTAAATCGCTTTTACTCGATAATGATACAAATGCCTGAGTATAAGACGAATTGAAAATTATTGAAATTTACTCAATAAGTTTTATGAAAACTCATATCGATTTGATGAACTGACGAACATATTGTTTTTTACGTTCATGGAATAATGAATCCAATACAAAAACAGAAAAAAGAATCAATTCCTCCCGGATTCACTCATCTGAGTCTCACCGTTAGTATATTTATACTCAAAGTGTACTCAAGGACCTTTTTTTATCTCTTGGAGCACACGAAAGGAAATCCCTAGTAGGTTCGATGAGGAGAGAAGGCTGGTATTGGATATTGTCGGATATTTTTGAACTTTAGGATTATAAATTCTTTGGCAAAGAATTACAAAGTTTTGCCGTTCTGTATACAAACGAGTTCTGTTAGAGAGTTCTCGACAAATCTCGAGATTGGCGACGAGAGGATGAGCTGACTGAAAACATTTACAGTGTCACTATTGATGGCTTTTACGTTTTGCTAGTCTGTCTTTTAGAAAACATCATCATGACTTTATAAATTGTGGAATTTAATAACGTTAAGTGAAAGACTATGGTTTCCTCGATTAAAATTTTATTACTTTCTGCACACCTAAATTTAAACACTGAAGAGCTCAATAATATGCTTGGTGCATGAAAACAACCGTGAAATGATGTTTATAGGCTCATTAATTCTTGCCATTTTATAATCTGGGTACTTCGAGGGGTACTTATAAAGATTAGACACATTTTTTGGCACAGAAATATTCCTCAAGTGAAATTACTCTTACTATCAATTATTATTCGTGACTTTGTCATATATCTATGATTCAAGTAGGTCTAACTGCAACAATTAATGTTATGAAATTGATAACCATTGTCAAGTTTATCAATCGTGAAATTATTTCTCATCGAAAAATGATGAATAATGATGATAATAATAATAATGAAAGTCCGAACATATACAGTGTGTGCGATTTGAACAACCGATTAATTTGGGACCTGTTGACCGACTTTCCAAAACAAGATTTCCATCAACGAGCTCTCTCCAGAAATGTGCACAAATCTGAAATATTCAAAATTGAAAAGGAATATTCTCAGATAAATTATGAACATGAAAAAATGGATATAATATATAAAGAAATACATTGAGAATTATAGCATTCTCTATATGATAAAAACATAAATTCTTTCTCCGTATTTTTTTTATGATCTGGTTCCCACGAAAAGGGATAACCTGTAATGTTCAGAGAACATCGTGAGAACCAAGGTAAATAAGGTATAGGCATTGGTGTTCTTCTTGAATTTGTGGAGGTTATATGCCTCGGTGAACACCTCCCTTGGCAATGTGTTCCAGAGCCTCGCTGTTCGTTGGATGAACGAGTCTTTGGAAAGAGATGTTCTGCAGGTCTCCGAAGTGACCACGAAGGGGTGCGAAGCCTCAACTCGACAATTTAATCTCGCGGAAACTGCCAAGGGAGGAACAATTGTTGATATTTCAGAAAACGTCGTCCATGAAAATATCTATAAAATAGAGCGAGATCACCAACTATTCTACGGTGTTCCAGAGAAGTGAGTGAGTATGTGAGCAAGGCATGACCCACGAGACGAATTGCCCTTTTTTGGACAGAATCCAACAGTTTCAGGGTATGTTATGTTTGTGTGCTGCACTCCAAAATTTCTCAAAAAAGTATCATTAGATCGATAAATGAATTCAGAAGTGTGTTTAGATCTCCCTTTTTTTAAATAGTCTTGTATAGTAACGTGTATATGTGATGAATTTGTGTACCTGGTGTTAAGTTTGTTATATTTGTTATATTTAATTTTAATTAGTTTCAGCCTTTGACCTGTCCAATAGCTATGTTATTGAGCTCATTTAATGTATTAAATTTTCTATATATCTATCTATCTATCTATATATAGCACTGAATATAACGCACTGTATACAAACCCTATGTGTGGTATAGTTTTAAATTCAATCTTCCATGAAATTTCAGAAAATTCAATGATATATAGGGTGCTCCATTTGAATAAATTGTCGCGGACTTCATAACTTAAACGTTGGTCACCCGGTATATCTAATT